GCACAGGGACTGAGAGCTCCTTCGCTCTAACGCGTTGTGGACCTCTCTTCTGCTGTATAAGATGATTCCTTGAGAGAATAGCATTTGAAGCAGCATCAAGAAAGCACAGTCATGATCCTCCACCCCAACCCAGAGAAGACATCACGGGGCAGACTGGGAACCAGGAATGACATGAAGAAATATTTATGAAGCATATCTGAACTTTTCTCCTTTGTCTTTTCATTCCAGAATTTTGGGATGGGACCATTACCTTGGGCCTGTGACAGCCAATGCCTTTTTTCACAGCTTTCCCATCAACCAGCTGGAATTCCCTTACTACTTTGATGACTCACAGTCATGCTCTAGCGCAGGCAAGAGGCTGTTTCTTAAAACCTGAGCCTTTAAATGCCTGCACCAAATTTATTTCAATTGCTACACCTTCCCAATATACCTTCTGCCATTTCTGCCAGATTTGGCATAAATCGCAGCTTCCTGTTTTGTAAATCTACTTTTTTTTTTTTCCCTTCTCAAAGGCTGTTACATTTATCTGTCAAATCTATCAATGCTGGGCCCAAAGATTTCAGGCTTTTATCTGAAGCAACTGGAGACAGGGCTTTGCGCAGTGGAAGGAGTGATCATGCACAGAGAGTCGTGGTCTCAGGGCAGTTAAGTCCTCCTTTCTGAGGAGAACATAGTGATCAGACTTCTTTAATGAAAAAGAAAATGAAAAATACCCTGGGGCAGGGGCATCTTCCCTGGAGCCAGGAAGCTGTCCTGGCCCCATCTGCAAGCACTTCTATGGGAGCATGAGTGCAGGGGGAGAGTCGCGGGATGTGGGTTGCTGGGGGAAGTTCTCCAGAGACAGAGGAAAGGGTTCAATCATGGTTACAGAGGTGACAGCCAAAATGAGACTTCTGGAGTGCAGGGGAAGCACACCATTACTAATTCAGGAAGCAGTTTGCAGTTCCGGGAGCCTTCAGCAGCTATCTTTTGGCCTGTTCCTCTAGTCTAAATTGCTGGCTTTTGCATGAAAATGAGTAACCCATCAGCCACTTGTACATGTGCAGCTGAAGTAATCTGCAGTTCAAAGTGGAGGTTACTTTTCAAATAACCTTTTTTGTCAAAGCAGATTAAAAGCAGTTGGATCTCATAGAACACCGTCTCCCTAGATGGCAACTTGGGAATGTAACAAAATGATTCCCAGTATAATTGCTGGTAGACCAGGAATTATTATTTTCAATTGCAAACTGCACAGAACGGGAGGAGAAATTACAACAAGAGCATCAGTATCTACTGTATTGGGAAACAGTACGTTCCCGTAACACCAGCAGCAGCTCATTTCCTATTCCTCAGAATGCAAATCATCCCCCAAAAAATGTTCCCGCTAGGTGAGAGCACATTTATTCCTTATGTATTATCAACCTGGGTTCTGGTCGGCGGGTTTGGAGCAGAAGTTTATGACCCAGGAGCGTATAACATGATCCATCAATAAAACTCGGTGGTCTGCTTGTTTGATTTGCCTCCAGAAATGTCACCTGCAACGTGTTAGGCAACACTCCCTGCAAAGCTGCAGAGTTGTTGCCACTCAGGACCCATGTAAAGAAGGCTGAACTGAAAAACTCCCAAACTCCCCTGCCTTTTCTGTAATTTGGTAGACAATTCCCCTGCTTATTCGATAGGAGCACAAAACTGTATATACATGAAATAAAAACAGCCCTACCAAAATAAAACTGCATTGCATAAACAGTTCTTGGAGGGAGAAAATAAAACATCTCAGCAGTATGTCTTAGCCATGTCACTCATCGGAGGACAAGGATATTCAGATTGTGTTGAAAGTGGCACAAAAACCTCATCAGAAAAGAGCAGCAATTGGGTAGTTTGTTACTGCCTTACCTTATCCAGACATCTGCCAAATCCCAAAGGGCATTATGCTATTTTATTTACATCCTGTGGGATTCCAGGATTTTAAATCCTGCAGGACTTTCCTTTCAAAAAAGAAACCCTTTCCTATTCAAAACCGAGTTGGGCTAGTACAAATTTGCATGTATAAGCAAATACCCTAATGAGCGCAGGGGTGCTGCTGCTGCCTGGCACAAAGCTCCCCTTGTCCAGCCAGGAGGAGTTCGGCTAGGAGGTCTCTCAAGCTGGCACAGGCGAGGAGGGCTGAGATTTAATGCAAACAAGACCTTGACATCTGCCCATCGGTCACCAGAGGGGAGCCACAATCGCTTCTTGCCCATGTGCGAACACCCTCCAGGAGAAGCAGAGGGGCTTGTTCTGAGCTACAAAAAGTTGGCAGGACCGTTAGGCTAACGCTGGCCAGCTGCAGCACTTCCAGCTCCATCCCCATCCCTGTCAGCCCTGCTCCTAGCACCCCAAGGAGCCTGGCCCGTCTGGCAAAGGGACAAAAATATTCGCCCCAGCTTTAATTTGCGGCGAAGTTGCTTTGCATGGGAGATACCGGGAGGTTAATCGGCCAAAGGCAGCTGCGCAGGGGCAGCGGGGAAGGTATCGGCACATCTTTTACTTCCTGCCCTCGCAGAACACCTGAAGTGAGGAGCACCGCAGTGGAAATGATGCCTTGCGAACCCAGCAGAGAGATAAAGAGGGAAAGGCAGCTGCGCAGGGGCAGCGGGGAAGGTATCGGCACATCTTTTACTTCCTGCCCTCGCAGAACACCTGAAGCGAGGAGCACCACAGTGGAAATGATGCCTTGTGAACCCAGCAGAGAGATAAAGAGGGACTGCTCTTCCCTGGGAGTGATTTCTGCCCTCGCCTTCTGCTCAGGAGAGCTGTGCTGTGACCCTGCCGCCGCTCAGGGAATAGAGCTAATTTCCTTCTCCAGAGGCAGGTGCATGGGCAGCCCTGCGCCTTCCTCCTGGGCACCTGCAGCAGCATCACGTACCGTTTTGTGGCAGCCCCATTTTGCAATGACTTGGTAGATATCTTAATGAGAGCAGGGTAATCTAAATACACCTGTTTTGAGGGGATGAATAAACACCTTCTGCCCTTATTAGGGCACATCCATGTATTGTTTGGATATGCTCTCCATCATCCATGGTCTCCACATCCATGTATTGTTTAGATATTGCAGCGTAGCACTTTTGGCCAGAAATGTTTTAAAAACTACCTCCCCCCGTAGATGTTGGCTATACGTAGGCCCTGTAGAGAGGGATTTCTTGCAAGACTTCAAAACCAGGGCCAGAAGGAGGGGATGCTGGGATGGACCCGTCTGAAGCAGGCACTGATGGCACCTACCTTTTCCTGAGAGCGTGTGGCCAGACAGGCAAAGCATTGCTGCAGCCTGTTTTTGGAGAGATGAGCTGTGCCAACGTGCAACACCAGACACACCGCCAGGGCTTTGCTTGCCTGTCCGTCATATCGACTCTACGGCATTTCCCTCCTGATGGGTTTTCATTGCCTTGGGTGTCCTCCTGACGTTAGGTAGTACCAAGGGTATGGCCGGATGGTAAAGTCTATGAAAGCTCCCTAAAGAGCCTGGCATCTGGCCTCTGCCTTCTCCCTGTCCCAGTGAAGCCACTCCACATAGCATGGAAATGCCTCTTGCCCAGGGTTTCTGGTTTCGGGGTGGTGTGCGTTTACATGCTTGCAGCAGGACGGGCTTCCCTCTCCCCTCAGGGTGTGCTTGCCTTCCCCCTTGAAGTCAATGTGGCCCAAGTGCGCAAGCGTCTGCTTGAAGGCATGTGCTTGGGGGTGTCTCAAGCGGCCCAGGCCTGTCACTCCCGCAGAAGCAGGTTGCATCTGCAAAAGACAGAGGAGCAAGAGCCTTTCCCCACCTTTGTGCCAGGCTACCTTAGTATGAAGCATAATTTGAAAACAGAAGGTTTCCCTCTCCATCAGCAATGACGTTTCATTTGGAGTGTGTCCTTGCGAAGCCTGAGCAGGACGAGTGGGCAGTACTTGGGACATGTTTTTGTGCCCCCGTCCCCACCCCCTGCCACTAAAAGCAGCAGCTGTAAGATTGCCCCAGCCTCAAGCACCTGATGGCTGCCCTGCGCTCCTCCCCCTGCCACCGATACCTATGCCTTTTGGGTCCCAGGCCTTTGGGTGGCCCTCAGGTTCGGATGATCCCTCACCCCAGGTGTGGCCATCACATGTACAGCTGGCTACCGTGGCTACCTGCCCTCCCCTGGTGACCAGAATCATCTCCCCAGCCTGAGAAAATAGAGATTGAATGAGGTTTGGGTCTGCTCACAGGTACTTTTCCTCCTCTCCCCAGTGAGTGCCTTACTTCCCCAACTCCTTGCTCGTCCTGACCTCCCTAAATCCTTCAGGGATCTTCTGAGAGCTCCTGGGCATCTGTCCTGGAAATGGGTGGCCAGCAGGCTCCTGTCCCCAGGCAGGCAGGGACAGCCCTGGCCACAACAGCATCCATCCATACCCAAGGGCAAACCCCAGGGGGGCGGTCAGGGTGCACTCCCAGCCAGGTGGAGATGAACACAAGTACCAAAGTTCTGCTAATTTTCAAATGCTCACAATTCACCTCAATGTCCGCCGTCACCCCTAACAGAACTCGCTTTTCCGAAGGGATGATATTACAGCAAAGTGTAGTACAAACATATGATGGCAGCTTGTCTGTTTATGGTATCTATTTTATTTTTCGTATTAAATAGCACATAAAAATAATTTATGCAGGAAAATATACATAAGATACTCTGTAATAAATATCAAGTACAAAAATAGATTTCCTTAAAAACAATCAGTGTTTTAAAAACCAGCAAAACAAAAGATATCAAATAAATACATTTGTCCCCATTGAACAGCATCTTTCAGGAACGGCATTTCCTTACCTCCTCCCGAGCTGTTTATAAATACACAATAAACCCCAATAATTTAAAAGACCGTGAAAAAAATACTGCTCCCTGAGCTCAAATAAATAAGAAAAATGCTTGAATAGGAAATACAGTCCAGTGATGCAATAAAGATCATTTTTCTGAGTCCCCGGGGCATCCTTTGGGATGGGTGAGCACCATGCTGTGCCAGCGGTGCTGCCGGCGTGGCTACGTGCACTGCTCCCGGAGGGCCGCGCACCGCAGGTCATTCAGTACTTGGAAGAGGTGGAGGATGGTGGAGGCCTCCAGGCAGCCGGTGGTCTCCTGCGGCGTGGAGAAGGGGTGGGTTAGTACCAGAGACGGGGTGCAGCAAGCCCCATGCAGCCATGCGGTTGCTAACACACCAAAAAGCCCTGGCCTTGCTGCCCTGACTTACTGTTTCCTTGGCCGTCTGCAGCTTCTGCAGCCAGTGCCTCAGCTTCCCGGAGGGCTGATGTGAAGGAGACTCTGTGGCCACCTGCAAGGAAAGCAGCCGCATAAGGACCGGCGATGCCCTGTGGCACTGCTGCCGGCACCGGGGCCGCTGTGCTGGCATGGGGTTGGGGGGTTTTGGGAGGGGGCACTCACGCAGCCTCGCAGGTCCTGCCGGGCTTGGGTGAGAAAGGCCAGGGGCCGCTGGCGCGTCTTGGCAAACCTAGGGGCAGCAGGGATCCCCAGCATGGTGGTGGCGAGGTCCAGCTCGGCTTCCACCAGCATCACTCGGTCGGGCACCTGCGGGCGGGAGCATGCCAGTTAGGGACCCACATCGCCAGGGCTGGCCGCAAGCTGGAGGACGGGGGCCTCAAAGCCCTGCCTGGGGGTGCAGATGGAGGTGGGACCGGCTGACGGGGGGTCCCAGCTGGAGGGGGGGGGTACCCCCTTTTAACAGTGTCGCCTCACTCTTACCGACAGCTCTGCCGTATTCCATTTCCGACGGAAGAGCATGATGTTGCATTTGCGGTCCGACAGCAGCATGATGTCCTCCTGCAGGCAGAAACCAAGAGGGACTGAAAAACTGTCGTCCTGACTTTTGGCGATGTTGTGCAACCGCGGCCAGCCTTGAGGGGTTTGAAATTTGGCCCAGCATCCTTCTTGTTCCCAAACTCCCTTGGAAAACATCCTCCTCCTCCCCAGACTGCTGCAGAAAACATCCATCTTGTCACCCAGGGTCTCAAATTTGGCATCCCCTCTACCTTGCCCACCCACCAGCCCACAGCCCTCGGTTGCCAGCAGTACTCACAAACTGCTCCTTCATCTTCTGCACAGCCTTCAGCTCGTGGGGTGCGAGGAACTGGTACTTGGTCAGGCTGCAGCTCTTCTTCAGGGTGTCCTGGAGGAAGGCGGCTCCAAGGCTGGCCACCAGCACCAGTGCAAGCAGCGGGGTGAAGCCGAGGCACAGCATTTTGTTGACAAGAGCCTGATGGTGAGTGGGTTACAACGGGACGAGGGGGCTGCGGTGCAAGAAGCCGGACAGGATGAACCAGAGCTGTATCCGCTAAGTCCCTGATGTAGAGATGCCTGAAGGTGTTGCCGTGGGTGGCTCGCTCGGCTGCGGGGCTGCTGGGCTAGTGGATAATCCCGGGGAGCTGCTTCGCCTCTCTCGTCGTGGGTGCCTCGCTGCCCCATCTCCCCAGCTTTTTATGCTGCCTGACCGGCGTGATTGCACTTTCATGTTGGCAGGAAAATCCACGGCCTGGCGGCTCTGGAAACAGGAAAGCGAAAGTGTTGGCGGAGGGAGGCGCCTCCAGCTGCCTGCCCTGCCGCACGCCTTTACAGAGCGAGCGCACCCGACGTCCCGGGGATGCAGGGGGTGCTCGGGCTGCCTTCAGTGTGCGCCTCTCCGAGGGAGCTGGGCAGGGGGATGGTGCTGCCACGTCAAGCAGCACAGAAGTGCTGGCAAGTGCGGGGAAGCCCGGACACGACCCAGCTCGGCACCACACTGAAACCTGCCTGGATGCGGTCCTGTGTGACCTGCTGTAGGTGAACCTGCTTTAGCAGGGGGGTTGGACGAGATGATCTCCAGAGGTCCCTTCCAACCCCTGCCACTCTGTGATTCTGTGAAAGCTGCAGGAGACCCCCAGGCATGCAGCCCCATGGGGTCAGTGTTCTCAGGGCAGCCAGAAGGGTTCCGGTGCCTCCCAAGTGGCAGCAGGAGTTTATGTCTCGGTTTCCCTGTGTGAAGTGCAGCACAAGGGCCATGGCAGGGATGGGGTGAAAGCAGTAAGCTGAGAGTGGGCACTGCTTAACGCAGCTGTGGGCATGAGCTTTATGTGCTTATTATCCTGAGGGACCAGAAGCAGCAGAAAGGGTGAAATCAGAAGCACTTCCACCCAGTCTTTTCGAGGTGGGACACAGGGTTGTAAAGGGAGGCTGACGGAAATGAGCGGGGCTGCCACCCCCACCAGCCACTGGAGCTGGCTGGAGCTTCCTCCCTGTTTAGCCTGAAAACACAAATATCACATATTGACATCTCTCTGCCGACAGCTAGAACGGTGTCCCCATTCAGCACAATCCATCCTTCCCTCAAGGTAACCCCCTGTGGTGTGAAGCCATCACCGCTGTGCTTTTAGTTTTATACATCCATCAAGCATTAAATATAGAAAATTAGAGAAATGCCTGTATCTAAAAAGCAAACACACAATAACACAGAAACAGACATAAATGCACTTTGCGGTGATTCATGTGGTGGTCATTAAGGAACGCTGCTCCAGAAGGACCCAAGTTTTAGTGTTTGTGTTTGGAAATAAACATTCCAGGAGTCCACCAAATGAGAAAAATTCTTACACAAGGTTGTGGAAAGATACAACATGGGGTGGGCAGACCAGCGTGGACATGCTGTGCTGAGTCATGGAGATGGGCTGGGACTTCCAGATGCTGGCCACCCCAGCCCCTGCTCTAGCAGGGTCAGCTGGAGCAGGTTGCCCAGGACCTTGTCCAGTTTTGAATATCTCCAAGGATGGAGACTCCACAGTCTCTCTGAACAATCTGTGCCAGTACTTGACCACACTCATAGTAGAAAATTGTTTTCTCCTGTTCAGATGGACTTTTATGTATTTAGGGTCATGCCCATTGCCTCCTGTCCCATCAGTAGGCACCGCTGAGAGCCTCCGAGCCTTCTCTTCTCCAGGCTGAACAGCTCCAGCTCTCAGCCTGTCCTCATACGACAGATGCTCCCATCCCTTCATCATCTTCATGGTCCTTTGCTGGATTCTCTACTGTGGCTGGTGTGGGGAGCCCAGAACTGGACATGGCACTCCAGGGGTGGCCTCACCAGTGCTGAGTAGAGTGGAGGGATCACCTCCCTCAGCCTGCTGGAAACGCTTCTCCTAACACAGCCCCGGACACCATTCACCACCTTTGCTGTAAGGGCATGTTTCTGGCTCATGTTCAACTTGGTGCCCACTGTGACCCCCACATCCTTTTCTGCCATGCTGCTTTCCAGCTGGATGAGCCCCCTCACATCCTAGTGCCTGGGGTTGTTCCTCCCCATGTGCGGGACTTTGCACTTCTCCTTGTTGAACTGCATGAGGTTTCTTTCGGCCCATTTCTCAAGCTTGTCGAGGTCCCTCTGGATGGCAGCACGACCCTCTGGTGCATCACCCAGTCCTCCCAATTTGGTGTCATTGGTGAACTTGGTATACTCTGCCTCATTGTCCAGATCATTAAGGTTAAGCAGGACTGGTTACTGGCCCACAGGAACCATCCAGTCCTCCTTGAGCCCTTCCACTGCTCCAGCAGCATCTCAGAGAGCCCAGGTCTTTCCTGGAAAACCACAGTGAAGAGGAGCAGAGAGGGCAGGCACGGAGCAGTGTGGCTTGGGCAGTGGCTATCTCAGCTTTGACCAAACCAGGTGGAGATAGGGCTTGGAGAAGAGCCAGGACACAAAAATATGGCGCTAAAGCCTGACAGCATGGTGGGCACAGGGTTTTCCTTGTCTATTCCAGCAGAAATAGACAGCACCTCAGCAAAAAAGCCTGGTGGATGTTAAAAACAAACATGGCCCCCAGTGAGGGAGGGGAGGGAGCAGGGGTTCCAGCCCTGCCTGGAACTCTCTGGGTCACAGCAGAGTAACTGAAAGGTGACAGTGGCTCAAGGTCCCATGTGGTGGAACCCAGCTGGCTCACAGGACAAGCACCACAGGGTGTTTCCTCCTCCAGAGTGGGGTACAAGCCAGGTGAGGGTGCCTTGGCGCCTGGTTTGAGGCCTCCAGCAGCCACTGTCAGGGCTAGAGCAAGGTCCCCAGCACCCAGACAATGATGTCCAGCACCTGCTGTGCTGGTCTTGCCAGCAGCCATGGGGAACAAGAGCAGGGTTGGAAGATGGCCCTGGCACACACACATCCACCACGAACCACTGCCTATGCCACAGGCCCCCACCAAGCATAGTGCTAGGGACACTCTCGGGTCCGCAGAGCAGCAGGATCCAGCTCCTTTGTCTCCTCTTCCCCATTGCTGTGGCTTTTGTCTCCTGGGTGTAATTTCTGGTTGCAGAAGTGAAACGTCATCTCTTCATACAGGCAAAAGGAAATCAGAGGCACCAAAGGAAAAGCAAAAGCTGAGTGGGCAAGCCGGGCTGTGAGCTCAGTCCCCCACCACTCAGGGCAGCTGTGATGAAGGGTCTCCTGTCCAAACATTTGCTGCTCACTCACCACCAGCCATAGACAAAGCCATGGGGGCCTGGCTGAGCAGCAGTGAGGCCTTTTCCCTAATGGGATGTGGTCTTGCCATCCTGGGCATCGGCACACCTACAGGCATCTCGCAGGGCAATGCCATGCTCCACTGTACCTCCGTCCCCAGCCTGGGCAGCAAAGCCTGGCTGCATTCAGCACAGCTCCTCCAAACCACGCTAATGCCAGCTCCTGCCATGGCAGCACAGGGTTCCCCAAAGCTGGCACAGGCTGGGGGCACCACGCCATGCCCAGTGGGTCTGCAAGGTACTAGGGACTCACCAGTCTCTGCAAGTGCTCCTGCCCTGGTGGGTTCCAGCCTCAACTACAAACAGTGCCACGCCGGGAGAGCAGTGCAGATGGCAACAGTGGAGCCCCCTCCTTGGATTCATGCAGCCCAGGGGGTTGGAGCCACTCTGATCTCAGAGTAAGAAATCCCAAGTGTGGAAGAGGCCCCAGGCATAAGGAAAGTGAAAACAGGCAGGGCTGCAGGCAGGGCTGACACGAGTGCAGGGTGAGGCAATGGCCCTGTGACTCACACATGGCATGAGCACAGAAAAGCCTTGGTGGCAAGCCATGCTGCTGGAGTGGGTAAACATGAGCCCAGATCACTCCTTCGCAATCCCTTTTGGAGCCAGTGGGCTTGTCTGGGAGGAACTGGCTCCTGCCGCAGTCACCTTTAAGAAGATAGAAAGAACCAAATAAGTGCCCCAAAAAAGCTAGCTTTGAAAGGAAACACCCTTTCAGGAGCCCTGCCTGTGCTGCAGGGGGCATCAGGCAGCCTCCACTCAGCAGCCATCATCAGACCTATCCCCACTGGCCCATGGTGTTGGTGCTACCCAAGTGCTGCTGGCCCTGCTATGCCCCCCAGAACCCTTTGCTGCCTCTCGGCACACACAAGCTGCAGCGGCTGCTGCATTGGCTAGGCTGGTTTGTGCCGCTCTGTGTGCCTCATGCTGCCAACACCATACTCGCTCACATTGGTGATGCAATCCCTGGTGTTACATCACAGCCAGGCACTCGCTGCATCACCCTGGAGGATGTGCCAAGTGTCCTGCCAATGTGGGGGAGGGAAGGGCTGTTAATTGCAAAGTTAATTAGAGAGCAGAATTTAAACAAATTGATTTAAGTTTAAAGTAAGGAACCAAACAAGCACTTTTTCCCCCAGAGCCTTTGTGCCAGTGGTGTGACCTCCCAGGGGACATCTTCCTGCCCAGGCACAACTGCAGGGATGCAGCTCACCAGGACAAGTGCTTCAGCTGAGCTGGGGCCACCAGCATCCTGTCACCAAGGAGGGCCCTCTAGTGCTCCTCCCGAGGATGACAAGCCACCACCCCCATCCTCACCCGGCAAAGGAGGTTTCATGGCTGCCGTTCACCCAAACACAACCTGTAGCTGGTGCAGCCTCTTCACCAGTGACTGGTAACAGGGCTTGATCCAGCATCACTGCTTGATGAGGTCTTCTCCAACATGTGGCCATGGACACAGAGACTAGCCTCACATCAGCAATGGGCTTTCCTCCCCATAGCTGTCCTCCTGGTTGCCACCAAACAGGGTCAAAGCCTTTACTTCCCACCATGGGCAACCTGAGCCAGCACTCAGTGACCCCAGTGGAGATATACCCAGGGTTAAGGAGGCTCAGTCTCTGCACCCATGGCAGGACTGTACCCAAGAGCACCATGACCGCAGCTGAAGTGCCTCCACAGAGCAAGGCCACAGCCCTCCCCAGGGCATCA